ACACTTTGGTGGATTTTTTAGAAGGAAACCTAATGGAAGTAATTTTTATGACGGTGGGGACATAAATGTTAAATTTTTTAAGGGGATCCCGTTATTGAACAAGTCAAAGATCACTTGTAAAGAGTATCAAATTATGCCCCAAGTCCTATGACTATTAGGTATATTGACCCAGGGTTATCAAGTAATATGATATGTATTGATGATGATGACAACATTGCCAATATGATGGAAGGGGCTTCTCCCAATGCTATGTACGTGTCAAACAGACCTATTGAGTTTGATTATGTTGAATATCAACCACCAATAATGCCCGATATTGGTCCATCTAATTGCACTGAATATCGACCACCAACAATGCCCGATAATGATCCATCAAGATTGGTCATGTAAGAAGTTTGCAATGGAAATCATAAATTTTCTTATTTGTCAATTTTTTGTTATGAGTCGAGATAATTCGGACTTGTCTTTTTTTTTTTTCTACAGCACATCCCGACCAGAGCAAGTAGGTCACAGTGAATGCGTTGTTGGCATAGGTGTACAAGATGAGCATGAATCAGAAATCAAGCGGTATATGGATGACATTGATCCTATAGAAAGCCCCCAGAGGATTAACGGTTACGAAGTTGTACTTCAAGATGGTCAGAATTTTGATGACGTACATGCATGTCGTAATCATCTTATTGATTGTCATATCACAAAACTTCAATATGAAGTTCATAAAAAGCTAGAGGAGACGTATAGGGGCAAAGTATGCTGCAAATGGTTGTTCATAGCAAGTGTGTTGTTGGATGGTTAATACAACAAACTTCATCAGGGTGAAGAAATTGATAAACGTGCACTCATGTGTTGGGGGAATAGGTAGAGTTCATCTGCCATTTGCTCGGAGCGACTGGGTGGCAAGCAAGATCAAAGACTGATTGAGTGATATGCCCAATCTTATACCTAGGGATGTGGTTAATGATATACAACATGATCACGATGTCATGTTATCGTACCAACAAGCATGGCGGGGCAAAGAGGTTGTACAACAGATAAATGAGGGTTCCCATGTGAAGTCATACGAGGATCTTGCTAAATATATTCATAAAATCCGAGTCACTAACCTTGTAACCTTAACCATCATTCAAACAAATGATTATGATAGGTTTGAGGGTGTATTTATAGGCAATCGTCCATGTTTGTATGGATTTTTGTTTGGTTGTAGGCTGTTAATAAGACTAGATGGGACCATTTTCTAAGGGAAGATACAAAAGGATATTATTGGCTGTAGTTAGGGTAGATGCGAAGGAAAATATTTTTGTTATAGCATATACAATGGTTGAAAGTAAAAATACACTAAGTTGGACTTGGTTTCTAGAGCTTCTAAATGAGCAGTTTTGCGAGAGGCCTGATTTGTCAGCTTCGTCGATATCCTAAAAAAGTTGTAAGTAGATTGTAGGAACAATACCATCTGTGGAATCCGCAAATATTGTATACCCGACTAGATATAAGAGGTAGGCATGGGTGTAACGTAGAAGGGTAGTACGGTTATGGTTCTATGGTATCTACCTAAACATGTTCCTCAACCATGTCAGTCGGATAAAGGAATGGTTATGACCAGGTGGCAGCTGTCCTATCATGCAGACTATATGTTCCTTGTAGTTCTCCACTCTCTTCACGGTTACAGCTACACCAGTCACCTTTAACCGAAGAATTTTTCATGTATATTCAAATGTAGGCATCATCTCTCTGATGTCTACATTGAAGTGCCTTGTGGTCGTCTTAACACGCCACCTCTCAATGATTGTAGATAATGTGCCGCGGTCAAGATACAATCCTGATCTCTTGACCAAATTGTCTTGAAATTTGGTGTATATTTATACCAATTCTACTTAAAAAATGCCTAACTTGGTGTCATTGAGATATGCTAGCTTAAGTTGCACAAAATGCTGGGAAAGATTAGCTAATAAGGGAATGAACTCATTTTTCATCCAACGCCTATGATACCATCACACAAGCTTGAACAATATTTAGTTTCAAAATAAATATCAGAATATGCCATCACACTAGCTTAAACAAGCTTGAACAATATTTAGTTTCAAATCAAATGTTACACTTTTCTTGATAATAAAGCCCAGGTTCGTGTTGAGAGCTAATTCTCCAAATATAATTAATATTAGAAACCCTACTACATTGAGATTTAGACATTGATGTTTTTCACTCCTTACAAATATAAGTCGGCAAAGATTTCTGAATATTTCGAGAACGATTCATATGATCCAATTTTATTTTTATTTTCTCTTATTGTCATTGACATATGCAAACTTAGGTTGCACAAAATGCAAGGATGGATTATCAAATAAGGTAATGAACTCTTTTTTCATCCAAAATACAGGATATCATCACACAAGCTTGAACAATATTTACTTTCAAATCAAATATCAGAAGATACCATCATATAAGCTTGAACAAGCTGGAACAATATTTAATTTCAAAATCTTTGTTTTTGGATCGAGCACAGGTTGTTTGAGCAACAGCTTTTTGGGTGAATATCAACTCATAATATTTCGTTTTTTGAACAAATTGAAACATGAATTTGATAACTACTTCGATTATCTATCAAATTCACTAAATTTCTTTAAGAAACATTAGGGGGTGAAAAATTATTGAAAGAATGGCAGAAATTATCAAAAACCTAAATACTACACTATTTCAATCCAAAAAATTAATCACAGATCACAGATAATGGAGCAAATCATAGATATTGGAATAATGGAGCAAATCATAGATATTGGAACAAATCACAGATCTGTTGAATTGAAAAGAGAGAACAAAAATGTTGCAATTCTACGTGCTCTGAAATTAATATTGTACGATTAGGGTTTATAAATCCAACAATTCTTACTTGAAATAATGAGGGAAAGATAAGATGAAGAACACCGCAACAACTTTCTAACGGTAGAATGAAGACTGTAATCTTGTGTTGTTATGGATGAAGACTGTAATCTTGGGTTCTTTTGTGTTAGGGTTTATACGGCTGAAAAGGGGAAGTTTTACGGTACTATGAGTACCGTAATACATTTTAAAAGTTTCTATAAGGTATATTACGGTACCCGCAGTATTGTAAAGGCCTTTTGAAGAATTACGGTACTAGTAGTACCTTAATATATTGCAAGAACAATATAGTATTCATAGTAATGTAAATTAAAATTACGATGTTTTTAATATCGTAATTCTTATTATGGTACAAAGACTATCGTAAATGGTAGTTTCGGCCAAAATTTCGCAAAAATGGGGAAAAAAGGTGTGGGTGAGGTTTTGAGAAGTTGGGGTTCTTTTTTCCAATTTCTTAAAAATATGAGTATATTAACGATAATTTCCCTTTCTAATATAAATGGTAAAGTTGGCAATGGATCCTGATCCAACCAAACCCAAGAGGTAGACCCAATCAGAGTCCGGGTATGGGTTCAAAAATTAGACATGGCGGATCGGGTCCAAGTCCAAATCTTAATCCGAACAATATTTGGGTCCGGGTCCGGTACAATTTTTTGGGTCTTAAAAAAAAAGGGCCTAGCCGGCCCGTTTGAGCCGGCCGTCTCATGCCCGAAGCCCGTGACCAACCCACCTCAGCTTGGGCTCGGTCCCATGGCCACATTTTGTGGCGCAGAGCCTAGTTTTTGAGGGCGAGGCTGAGTGGGGCGTTCGGCCCGTACCTGACATTTCAACTTGGAAAAAGGGTTAAGTCGATTATATTAAGTTGGCATTGATCATGCTAGGTCCCATCAAGGAAGGACAAGTCTCTAATTAACCTTGATTTGTGTTTAGAACGAACACAACCCTTTGTCCATTCATTCTATAACATTTGAAAAATGTGCGCCCAATCCCTGTTTTTTTTACCTCGCGGGGCTAAATCTATTTAACCTCGAGAAAAACTTGCAGTGGCTTGGCTTGGCTTGGCTTGAGATTAATTTAACAGTAGTAACACCAATCACGATAGAGCTCATATAAGAGTCCAAACTCGTGATTAAGTTTCAAGCCAAACACTACCTTAATAAATGTTTGGTAAAGCAAGTTGGAGTCCATCACTATTCACCATTCAAGCGGTTGCCAAATGCTTCTCTCTCTCTCTCTCTCTCTAAGTAGGCTTGAGTGCATAAGGTTACGATTGTTTTTCTTCTCTCACAAGACGCAACAGGTGTTAGTTTTTCAGAGAGAGAGAGAGAGTATAAAACTAAAGATTGATTAAGAGGAGAGAGAATAACTTAAAATGAATCAAAAAGAAGAGAGAGAGTCATTGAAGATTATTGATTACGAGAAGCCAAAAGAGAGAGCCAGGTTGTTGACTTTAGAGAGCTTAAGGAGAGAGAGAGAGAAAGCAACTTAAAATGGATTAAGATAGAGAAATACAACTTAAAATGGATTAAGAGAGAGCGAGAGAACTTAAAATGGATTAAGAGAGAGAGAAAGACAACTTAAAATGGATTAAGAGAGAGAGAAAGAGGGGTTGTTAACTCTAGAGAGAGAGAGCATAACTCGAAGTCACGATTGATCAAGAGAGAGAGAGAGGTGGCCCCACAACCAAGATTGTAGAGAGAGAATGAGCGTACGTGATTCTAAACAATTTGTTAAGCGACCTTAATTCCTTCAATTAATTAAGTAATAAATTCGTAACCTAAGCAAAGACACAGATCGTTAAACAGTGCAGTGCAGTGCAGTGCAGTGCAGTGCAGTATTCGAACAAGGGACTGTGACCCTAATCACTTCGATTAGATGCCTAAACCACCCTTCCCTTCCCTTCCCTCTCCAAAATCCCACATTTGACGATATTGCCCTCCCCCACCCGCTCCTTATGGTTCGCATTTTCAAGACACAGGCCATATTCGTCATAACAACAAAATGTCAGGACGGCTTTTGTCAAACTCCAAGTTCAAAAAACTGTCACTCCTCTCCCCCTCCCCTCTCTTTCTCTCTCTATATAACCCTCTTCTCTGTCTCTCTCTCAAACCCACCTTCCATTTTCCCCGCTTTCTCTCTCATCAGAGCACCCCTTCTCTCTCTAGAAACCGCTTTTCTGCATTTGGGTAGTCCTGGTTCGCCCCCACAAAACCGCTTCTCTCTTGTGAAGTGGTTTCTCTCTCTGTAAAACTGTCAATTGAGGGGCTGAGAGATGTTTTCCTGCTTCAAGTTCAGGAAACAGGGCACCTCCAATAGAGGGGAGAGTAGCCAACCAGAGATTCCAGACCCTCTTCTATGGCAGAAAGAGCTCTGTTCCCATTCAATTGGGGAGTTCTCCATTGGTATTGTTCAAGCGAACCAGTACTTAGAAGACCAGGTACTGGTTGATACCTGGAAGAATGCTCTCTTTGTCGGTGTTTTCGATGGTCACGGTGGTGATGTAGCGGCTCATTTCGTTGCTGATAATCTTTTGCTCCACCTCATTAGTATGACATTTCTCTCTCTCTTTCTCTTTCTATCTCTGTTTTTCTTTCTAACATTTGTTGCTGGTGTTTCTTGATGGAATTCCAATTGGGTTTTATAGTTTAATATGTTTTTTCTTAATTGGTGGAGAATTGTATGTTCTTGATTTTTGGTATATTGCTTTTTTTCTTTTTTTCTCTTTTTTTCACAGTTGTTTGTGTTTCTGTTTGTGAGATTGCGTGTCTTCCTCTCTCTTGTTTAATTAATTATCTTGGACTTTGTGAATTTTTATTTACAATCACTGTCATGTAATGTGACATTGTGAATGCAGTAATTCTGATCTTTTCTTTGGACTTTGACTTCTGTGGACTTTGACATGTTTTCTTGCTGTTGAAAGTGGCTTTGCTTGATTGGAGGGAAGTCTTTATTCTCTCTCTCTCTCTCTCTCTCTCTCTCTCTCTCTCTC